GGAAGCAGCAGGAGAAGGGCAGCAGTAGCAGACGTGGGGCAAGGGGCAGTGAGTGGGAGCATGGGGCCCATGCCAATGCCCCGGGGCCAGGAGTAGCAGGAGCATGGAGCTCCGGCTTGTAAGAGTACTGGTGGATTCTCTGCCTGCTGCGGCAGGGTGGAGGGAGCAGGCTGTGGGCAAACCTTCCCCCTCCATCCAATCCACAACTTTCCCCAGCCACCCTTCCCCCACACACTCACAGCCTCCCACAAACCCATACTCACCCCCTCCCCACAAATCCCACACACACACACACACCCTCCCCCACACCCCACATACCCACAAACCTATACCTACCCTCCCACCCACACCCTCCAACAATATACAAGAGTAAGACTTTATTTTAAGCTATTATACTATCACCTCTACCTACAGTAAACAAGCACATGTAAATCAGGACAAAAATATTTTTTAAAATTAAATTAATGAATGTTGTAGTACACTTTTGATTTTTAGAATACAATTTGGTATTTTTCTGGTTCAGAGATGGCAAAACCCCTTACTGAAAGGAGTAATTCCAGGCTCAAGGGGAGGGACTTCTGGTAGCAAAAGTCAGGGGTTAGGGGGTGGGACTTCTGGTCCCAAGATGGTGACCAGGGGGTGGGGCACCTGTCAAGGGGCAGGGCTACCTATGTGGCGCTCGATGGCTTGCCAAAACCTGGTAAGTGGCCCTCCACCCGAAGTAATTGCCGACCCCTGTTCTACATGTACTATGTAGGTTGCTTATAAAGCCCCATGTAAACTTAATTCAGTGTATAATGCTTCTAGATAGTTAATTTGTGCTACCACTTTTATTTTAAAGTAAGTCTACATTAGCAAAGGTGTGGATTGTCATGTGTATGCACCACACAGGTGATTGTAACCCAGCTGGAATATCGCTAGAGAGAGTTCTTTTGCTGCAGGGAAGCTCTCTGTTAGGCAGCTGAGCTACTTTGGGGTCAATATCTCTGTTCTTTCCAGTGTGTAATGTAGAAGGATTGAAGAGTCCTGCTGGGGGCAGGATTTAGATTCACTAAATCTATCCAGCACTGATATAGTCCCCATTAAAGACTCTACATAAGTGGTGTAAGTTAGAGGAGCTTCACAGCAGCAATTAGTGGTATCAAGACCAGCACTAACCTTCAGAATTAGGGAGATGGAAGAGGTTCTCAGTGTCACCCTGCATCTGGGCCACTGCATATCAGCTTGGGCAGAAATGAGTCCAGCTCTTTGACTTTTTAATAATTGAATTTATTTTTCCTAGCTAGTACATAGGTCTTTCTAGTATAATATTAGATATTCTGCTTTATATCTAATTGAGTGGCTGCGAATGATCATATATTTCATTTTGGTTTCCTTTCAGCTCAGGGGGTGTCAAAGACAAGGCCTGTAGGCTGGATCCTTCTTGCAGAACCTTATCCAGTGTGCAGTACTGCCTGTTGATCTCAGATCAGTTCTGCACGTCGCATTTGGCATGCACCAGCTGTGGACCAGCACACTACATTTAACAGGAAGGCTGCATGTGCCACATGGGGCTGGACCCAGTGCATGACTACATCAGACAGCACCCGGGTCCAGTCCAGTGCACATGTGGCATGTGGTGGCTGAATGTGGCTGCACATGGTGCTGGATCTGAGACTGGTCCAGGTTGTACCCCTAAACCAGCTCTATGTGCCAGATCCAGCACATAGTGCTGGTCTGGTGCAGGTGCTGGTGAGGCCAGCACATGCTTCATGGAGCGGAGGGCTGGAGCTGTTATGCATGCTTTATGCAGTGTATGGGGCTGCATGTGATGCCCATGCTGGACCAGCCCTGTGCAATGGCTCTGGTGCACAAGACTGGTCAGTGGGCCTGATCCAGCCTGCAGACCGGCCCGTGCCCCTAATCCTGCCAGTGGGGCTGGATGAGTTTGATACCCCTGTTTATTTGGTTCCCAGGTATGGCCCGTACATATTATGGAGTCACACAAACACATGTCTCTTCAATTTCATGAGAGAGGTAGGTAGGTCTGGTCACTACACAAATTGAGGATATCTTAACAAAACCAGTTACTACAGGAAGTGCTATAGGTAGAACACTTCCCTTTTCACTAGGTGATGTTTGTTACAGAAGCAATGATACTAAGTGGGGACAGTGTGATGCAGCATATACTAGTTATTTTCATAAATCACTAAGCCAGGGCCCTGACCAGTTGTCTTTGAAAGGACCCACAATATAAATTTTGTGTAATTAGGGAAACTGTGTTCTGTCTACCCATTGGCTTTGCAGTTTTGTTTAGAGGATTATTTTTTCTCATATCTTTTGTAGTCTGCCTTGCTGCTGAATGGCTAGGGTATTATAACACAGAGGAGGCTGCATTTCAGTGGTAGCTGCAGCAGACGGTAGGATGGGCTGATACCAGACAAAATAGGTTGTTGCCTGTGAAAGCTCTGACCCAGTTAGTCTCTAAGGTGCTATGCTGCCTTGCCTTCTGCCTGACATCAGGCTAACCACCTCAGTGTTGCATAATACTTATATTCTATAACTTTTGATGCATTTTAGAATTCTAAGGAAATGTTATATTTTTATATAAACTGTGTTATTTATGGTTATAGATGGATTGGTATTTTATGTAAATCTGTATGTCAATCTGACCTGCTTATCTTTGCTGTTTGTAGAGTAAACCACAAACTAAGAGCAGCCAAATCCATGGGAATTGGACAGCTAGGTACCATTTTAGGCACCTTTATACTTTAGAAATCTGACCATTAGGTCTGTATTACGTACATGGCTATACAGACTGCCACTCTTCTAGACCTGACTGCATACAGGTATAACTTGTTAACCAAAATGCGATCTTAGGTTAGCTGCCTGCGGTTCCATCCGATATCTGTTGCTACAGGCAACTGCAGAGGTTGAATTCCACAATTGCCCTGCTTTGCTTCTTCCTTTAGTTCCACCTCCTGATTTCCTGAACAACCCAGCAAAGCACAGAGTGGTTCATTAATATGGTTTTAGGTAGACAAGAGGCAGAAGTGAAGAGTATTTTATTAGATTCTTACTAGGTCTGGTATGGGAGGGGTCATAGGAATTGGGCGGTCCCACATGTTAGTTTCTATTACAGTCTTGTCCAGCTGGCTTATTTGGTGACATATTACTATAGTATGCCTGAATGGGAAGCCCAAATTTGAAAGTTTGGATGGCAAAGAGCTCTTAATTTCCCAGAACATCTCAGTTCTGTATTGACACCCAGTGGAACCCTGGATTAATACCTAGATATGATCCAAGATTCCTTCTTTTAAAAAAAATCATATTTGTCCCTGGCATATAAAGCTCTTGCATGCTTTGAGACCTTCTCTCAAAACAGTCGGTTTCATTACCAAACCAGAGTAAAACTGGAAATTACATTAAACTATGTGTTTGTCAGAAATTTTGTGGCTTGCTCTTCTATTTATAGATTTTTCAGATCACCAGTGATATGCAATAATAATACTTACCTCACTTGGTTGTCACGAGTCTTAATTCATTAATGTCTCTAAAGTGCTTTGAGAACCCTGGATGAAAGGTGCTATAGAAGTGCAAAGTACTATTAAAAGAATGAATGAGGTTAAGGTACCTACTGTTTTTCTCCTTTCATAGGGTTTGCCTAAAATCAGAATGAATGTCATTTTTTTAATGTTAAAACTTCTATCAAGCTGATCTTTACTAAGCAATACTGCAAAGCTAAATCTCTCTCTGTTATCTGTCTGTCTGTCTCTCTGCATGTATCGTGATGGATACTTAATTTTAGTAGTTTGGTTATTACTGCACGAGATGTGCTCTTTAATAAAAAGGGTTCACAGATGCTGAAACTTGTCTCACAAGGTAAATCTCCACTTCACTAAGAACCAAGTCAAACTGTAACTTCCAGTCAGAAAAGTAGTTTTGTGTAACAGCTTTTTTCCATAAACATTTATACAGTGTTTAATACCCTCTTCTGCATAAAAATCATGCTTCTCCAGAGAAATGTGTTGTTCTAAGAACCTCAGAGATCTAAAAATAAAAGCTTTCGATCATTACCTGAAATCTGGCATTTTCTAAATAAAGATTTATTTTTTTGTCATTACAATATTTGCAGTGCTGTAGAACCTGTTGAAAGCTGTTGATGTATGGTTAGCGCTGTAAAAGTCAACTAATTTGGGTAGTTTCCTTGGGTTATTAAAAACTTGGTTATAGAATTTTTTTTTTTTTAATCTATGAACGCTTGTGAAGATGTCAAGGTCCATGAGCTAAATGCATCCCTGGTGTACAAAGAATTTCCCTCAAAATATGTGTAAAAATGCGTTTTGAGTTCCTACAATGAACTCTTTAAAAACAATGCTGTCATTGTTTCAGTGCTTTAAAGAGACAGGGTGATTTTTAAATATTAATAAACATCCAGGGGGAGCTAGGGAGTAACAATTTTTCCTTCTCTAATGGTATATAAGGCAATATGAATACAAGGAAGAGTTACATAAATGACTAATTTTTGTTTTGTTCTTTTGATAGGAACTTTTGATTAGAAACTGGTCAGACATTCCCAGAGTGGTTGAGAGCCTGTCAAGGTCACTGCCAAGGACAAGAGAGTCAATTAGTATGCAGATCAGAGCCAAGGAGTTCAAAGGTATTGTTCCAATTCAATCACATTAGCCAGGCCAGTAATGAACAAACGGCATGACCTTAATCATGGAGCCTGAACCACTCATTGAAAGAAAGTATGTGTGTCTGTGTATGTATTTGAGGGCATGGAAGGAGGGGTAGAGGATGACAGGGAGATTTTTTTAAAGAGACAGGATGAACAGTATTTGCTTAATTAGCCACCAATATTAGAATCTTATTTCATGGCCCTTGTATTTTAAAGTACAAGATTGCTTTTATTTTTGGGTTGTAACTGAAACAGACTCAAATGGACAGGTGGTTAGAATATTTTAATAAAAATACTTAGGCAGTCATTGAGATGCTAAATGGTTTGCAGGAGGAGGCAGATAACCTTATGTAAGACACCAAGCTAAATTTTGCAATTGCAGTCTCCTTCATAATGTGCTAGTTTTCTCAAAGTCTAGAGGTAAAGAAACTGCTGTGGTTATCCCCCTTGATATAACAGAATTTTCCGCTACTTGGAGTTGACACACATTAGCAATTTGTAGGTATGCCATTAATAATGGAAAGAATGAATGATTTATACAGAATAGAAAATATTTATTTAATATATTAGGTCTGGCAAACATTATGTTACATGTAATAATATTTTAGATACCACCGTTACTAAGTTATTTCTTAGTAAAGTGCTCTGCATATGTAAGTGTAGTACATGTAGCACACTCAAACTTCCAGTGTTTTCTGCAGCATTACAAAGCTACAAGCATACACTATATTAAATTCATATAAAATATGTTCTGGTTTTCTTTTCTTTTTCTTTTTTTACAGAGTCATATATACAAACATGCATATATAAATGCAGACAGAAATAAAAGAATTTGATATGTATATGGCATAATATGTGCATGTCTATGTGTATTACATATAAGTTAGTATTGACTCTACAGCTGGGCTTGGACTGAAATTCTACTTAGCAGGAATAAATTCCCTTTTTTCTACACTGTTGATTGAATTTGGTATCCAAATCTGACCGGTAACTCTTCAAATGACCACTGAATTGTCTGTGCTTATATCCACATGCAAGCACACTGCAAATATGTACATATTTTCTGCATGTGGAAATGTGAAATGACACTTTGCACATAATTCATCATCAACCACTGAAAAATTGAGTGATGCTTAAAATGTGTTCACCTGCTTCTACCGTGGTTTACTTTGCACGTTATTGTTCTGGATTTGTTTATGTGGTGACTTACAAGTTTCCTGTATCTGTTTGGGTGATATTTGCTCAACAATTACTTCTACTGGAGTAGATTATCAAAGGAAGCTGCAGGCTTCATTGGGAAACTGAAGAAGTCACTTCATTTCTCTTTAAATAAATCCTGATAGTCAGCTAAGATTTTAGGAATCCAGGGTTTTTTGTTTTTGTCTTTCTTATTGGGGAGAGTGTTCATCATATCTCACTACAATGGAAGATGCATAACAGAAAAGAAACTATTCTAGGCTATGATACACCCTAGGGGTTCATGAATGTTGGGGGAGGAACACTGATTATACAATGCAATAACATATTGAGACACTATTTCAGTTTTACACTTGGTATCAAGTAAATACAGGATATCTCACCCATGAAGGGTGATTATCTCTCATGAAGGGAGGAAATGAGTTATTAAGGTCTTTCTCAGGAGCAAAACAAGGATAAGAATTTTTATTAATGTAAGAAACAATCTGCTTTTTTTCGTTATAGAAATATATTTCCTTTTTAGCAAAGCTGTGGGGTTTTTGTCTTTAAATAGTCTGTATCAGAAAAAAAACCCCTCTCAGTTTCAGTTGATGCTTATCCCTGCACTGCTTGAGAATATTGTTATAAAACATGTGCTCATTGCCATTTTTATCTAGATCACAATTAATAACATTTTTAAGCATGAAATGTCTATCCAGTCCCATAAAACCACTTGTAAAGTGTTTGATATTTTATCTGAGGATATTAAAAGATTGTTTAAAATAAACATATACCACTGGAACTGAATTTTCACACGATTATTCAGATAGTCAATAGGTCTTCTTTGATCATATTATTATGATGCTTCTGCTGGATTTCATTCTAAGACAGGCATATTCTTTCTCTCTCTCTCTCTCTCTCTCTCTCTCTCTCTCTCCCTCTCTCCCCCTCTGTCTTTTTTCCCTAAACAAGGTCATAGATTTTTTAAAATGAAGACTGGAAGTTCCAAGTACAAGATTAAGTAAGTTCTAACAGTGTTATAAAAGTAAGTGCTTTTTTCTATAATAAAAGGTGTTTAAAAGGTTCGCTACAGCTTTAAACAGAATTACAATTTACTTCTTTCAAGTGTCCAGGCCATAAATTCTTCTCAATTCCCTCTCTCTCTCCTTGTCGGAATTAATGAGATCAGATTTGATCAGGGCAGTGATGTGTTCAGAGCCAAATCACACAACAGCGCGCGTGCGGTAATGGAATTTGCATCTAATGCATACATAAATCAAACATCTTTCTGGACATTTTCATATGCATAATGTCATTTCATCCAGTTCTCTCTGTGCAGAGGGGGAGATTTTTCTCTCTGAGAGAATGACTTTCTTTAATGCTTTCATTTTATTTTCGCTGACTACAATCCCCGAGAATGCGCTCGGTCGGAGAATCTTTCGGGGCGCGGTTGACAGTTCCTTTTCCAAGAGGGGTCCTTCACATTTATCATGCCTCTTCCTCGGGGGCTTTGTTATGCAAATGTGGCTGAAATTGATAATTCCAAAGTGCTTCATTTCGGTTCCTTGGCGGTTGGAGATGGTAGATAAAAAGAAACTGACAAGACACACTGATTGCCCTCAATGCTTGTAACTCTCTTGCTAACAAGGCTCGATATTGTTAAAAATTCCTATTGTTATCAGGGTGGCAGTTCCATTATGCAGGCCTTGCAAATTTCTGATTTGAATATTAACCCTTTAATCACCCTTCTCCCCTCCCCCACCCAACCCCAAATCAATTGCCATCAAATGGCTAAAGGACACAAAACATTAAATTATTTCCCTGTTATGGGTGAACATCTGTGGTATATTTTAAAAACTCCATTAATCATTTTTTCAAGGTAAGCTCAGGCATTTTATATCTAAATGGAGAAAAAATGTTCTGTAACAAAACAACTCTAACAAAAATAGATTGAAGGGTTGTGTGTATCTATTTAGAGGAAACTGGGTTGGGGGGGTGGAATATTTGGATGGAAATATCTGCTTGCCAAAATCAAATTCACTAGTTCCTGGCAAGTGGAGAAGTTTCATTATTTTAAACTTGTGTGTACTTGCACTGCTTGTTCTAACTTAGGTAGGCCTCAGGGAGGGGATAGTGTGTCTTCATATACCCTACTACAGTTGGTTTTTACTTCTCTGCCCTGCTAACTGCAGATATACCTTTTTCAGGCTGCCCAGCAGCAAAGTAGCTGACAGGTGGGTGACCAAAATAGTAGAACAGAGGAAGAGGATTCTATAAAAGATGAGGATTTTTGGTGCTTATTTGTCACCCAGAACAAAAAGAATCAATAACTTTGCTTGTATATGTTGTTCTTTTTAAATGAGGAAATGGGACCTTCTAACTTGGGAAGCAACCCTGACAGTGCAGAAGAGAGAAATGCAGGCTGTAGGAACCAGATTCTGGATCCATTGAAGTCAATGGGAGGTTTGGCAATAGCACCGATGGGCACTGAATCAGGCCCTAGAAGCTGTACTTTTCTTTCCTGATGACAAGTTAAGGTAAACAGTAGATCATTCCCGTGGTGTTATAGTTGCACTGAAAAATAGAAGACTGCTTAGTGACTGATTTACCCATTGATTAATGAAAATGGGGCTTCTGGAATTTCAAATATCCTTCTAACATTGGCTGATGTGTGTCCAAGGAAGGTGAATTTCTCCCCATAAAGCATCTGCCTTCAGGTTCATATTACAATTATAGGAAGATTTTTCTGGGGAGACCTGACATGGTTCCAGTTAAACTAAATCATAATATGACAAAGGTTAGCACTGTAGATGCAGAGGGAGCTGGAGAAGAGGGAAAGAGGGAAAGGTTGCCACTGTAAAATGAAACACAGTTCATTGCTAACATCAAGCAACTGCAACAATATAATATCTCTGTACAATTACCAAGAAGATGCATCTCAACCAGCTCATGTCAAAGGAACATCAAAGTTTTCCCTTTTCTTAGTTCTGAAGTCTTGCAGAGCTGTGGCTGCCAAATTATAGTAAATAGACAAGGCGTTTGCACAACAGTAACCTCTTTTATATTGGACCAAGGATCTCTCTCCCTCCCTCCATTAAAAAAATCTCTTGTATTATTGTAGGAACTCTTGGGAGGCTCATACACTTGGGTTTTCTTTCATTTATAGGCACGATGGCAGATTAAACCCATGTCAGGAAACAGTGATAATGCCGACTGTAGAGGCTTGTGAGTTAGAGCAGCTAAGTTTTCCATGTCACTGTTTTTCCTTCAGTTATTTGAAAACAACTGTTAATTTTTAATGTGTTCTTACCCTCATTCTGTTACTAAAACTGATACCTTCCCCCTTATTTCAGAAATAGATTTTACTAGACCTGCTTGCAGTAAAATGATAATTTGATTCTATCATTTATTCTGTCCATTAGAGTAACCAGTGTTAGTGCTTTTTCTCCACTTGATTCTGTCAAGTGCTGTTATTTATGCTCAATGGTATTAATGTCGTTAGTTGTGTTATGGTTGTATAATCAAAATTGCTACCAGTACGAACTAAATGTAACTGTGGTGACTGTATCAGCTGCCAGTAGTCAAATTGTAGTCAAACTGCACTGAACAATCAATATGTATTAATAAGTATCTATAATTATAATTAACCTATCCTGTCTGCCATGAAGAATCACCCTAACTGAGTCTCATACTTCCCAGCATTGAAGACAGTGCTTATGTTTTCGGAACAGGGGAATTAAAGATGCTCACATATGTTTTAAATGGTTTCTTATTTTCAGTTACACTTAGCGATGACTCTGTTG